TTTTCTTGTGAGTTTGAAGAATACGTACTCCCGAGAGAGAGAGAGAGAGAGAGAGAGAGAGAGAGAGAGAGAGACCCATTTTTTTTTCCAAACAAATAAGATAAAGCATCATAAATGGTCCCTAAGGTAGTGAAATGGTAGTGAAATGACAAAAATACCCTTCAGTTAACGGACAAACTTAACGGAGTTAGCAATAAGGACCAATCGTCAAAAGTTTTGAAAGCACAGGGACCATCTATGAGGTTTTTAAACCATGGGGACTAAACTTCAGATTTTGGGAAACCACAGGGACCATTTATGATGTTTTTTCTATTTATTTAATGAATTAAAATAAATATAATTACCGAATACGAAGATACCATAATATATCCATAATTATTTTTAATCAGTGTATAATTTCCAGAAACCGTTAGTCCGTACTCTGTAGATCACGTCGTACTTTCAGACCAAACAACCGTCGCCGGAATAGTTCCGACTTCCGATGGCTTAAATTCCATGGCTGAAGAACGATTCAGTGGTTTCAGGTTAGGAATTGCCATTAATGGCAATCCACGTAGGTGGTGTAAGAGAAGCCCAATTTTTGTTCAGATCATCATCGTTGTTATCAATTTGCTGCATTTCTCAATCGCCCCTTTCAGCTTGAACCTTGACGACAATCTACATCTGTAGCGGTGGCTCACGGCGGCTGTCGTGGTGGCAGGTGGTAGTTGCAGCTAGGCCACCAATAGAAAGACTTGGGCCTAAGATGTTCTTTACCCAAACTCAATTTGAAATTTGGATAGAGATGTCCCACATTACTCTTAACAGAAACGAGTGGACAACAAACACACACAAATTGCAACACCAGATCAGGTGTCAGAGAGAAGATGGCTACAAACCTTGTTCACGGCGTTTATCAACACCACCGCCGCCTGATACCACCGCAGCAATGTTTCAATTTCTACCGTGATCGGACCTCCATTAACGTGAACACCGTATCCTCAAATCTGAAGCAGTTCTTTTCGCTGCGTAGGCAAATTAGGGCTCCGAGATCACCTCCGGTTATCCGTAGATTCACCACAATTTCTGCATCACTTGATCTAACCGAAGACAATGTCAAGCTCGTTTTAGATGACGCTAGAACAAAGGCAAGTTTTAATCTCATTAATCAATCCAAATTTCATATCCATAACGTTTAAAACCCTAAATTCGTTCTGATTTTGTGCAGTTTTCACACTTATTCGATGCATCAGTAGGAATGACAGGTGACCTACTTTTCCATATCGGTTTACCTTCCAGTTTCCTCCACTGATTTCATTACTTTATTGAAACAAAACGAAAATGAATCTATGAAAACAGGAGTTGCAGAATTAGCTGAAGTAGATGGACCATTTGTGAAGATTAGACTCACAGGTCGATTCTGGCATGAACGTTCTCTTGTTTTAGCCAGACTTGGAAACTATCTGAAAGAGAGGATTCCAGTAAGCTTATTCCATTTCAATCTTGTAACATTCTTCATCTATGGTTATAACAATGGCGGAAATGGTTGTTTTCAGGAGATATTGGAGGTGGACATTGAAGATGAGAAGCAATTAGACGATAGCCCTGAAAACTTTTGAGCTTTTGGATTCAAGATTCATGAAACATCACAAAACCACAATGTTGTAACTTGTAAGCATTCATCTGATTAGCAACTAAGATACATCTTTTCAATTTTCATATATGAAATGCATTCATAAACACAAACAATACACAACACAATTGTCTATCAGTCAACTAGTTAAGACCAAATTATGATCAAACCCTGAAACAACTTGCAAAACATTTGTATCTTCTGAAAACTCAACCACCATTGGTTCATGTTCATCCATGGAACTACCCAACCCAAGCCTCCCACTTCTCCCACACCCCCAAGAAAAAACCTCTCCATTATCCGTGAGGACAATGGAGTGGACCCGCCCACCCGACACTGATACGGGCTTTTCCCCTAAAAGCCCATCCACAAGCAACGGAATATTCCCTGGACCTTCTCTTCCAAGTTGACAATTTTGCCCCCAACCCCATGAAAACACCCCTGAGATACCTTCACCACCTTCTGCAGATGGAATCTGACATATAGCTAAAGAATGCCCTAGCCCTGAAGAAATTGAAACAGGGTGGACACTTATGTCAACAGGAAGTAACTCCAAATCTTGTGTTGATCTTCCTAATTGTCCATATACATTGCTTCCTCCACTTAATAAAGTTCCATCACCTGAATCAAGAACACTTTTTTTTATCATTTTGGTGTAAAAAATAGTATAATAGATCTGTACTGATATTAGCCCTAGACTTACGTAAAAGAACCAAGGTGTGGTCAAGCCCACATGACACGTCAGCAACTTCAACGCCTTTTAATTCATCAATCAAACATGGCTCCCATATGATGGGCATATCATTCTCTTTACTCATTGCTTCCAATACTACTTTTTCAGCATCTTCAAGCTTTGACAAATTGTTTACAGAATCGAGTGGGGACACACTCGTAATTTCTCTCTTTCCTAATCTACCATCAGCTGAATAACCCCAACCGAATAACTTTCCATCTTTAGTAAGTGCAAGAGCGTGTCCCCATCCAAATGACACCTGTTTGTTCATTACAATCTATCAGATGATATTATCTTCAGGATGATAATATCTGTTACTGAAAGTCTGATTACTTGATTAGTGATTCCCCACCTTAATTATCTCTTCTTTTGAAAGAGCTTTTATTTTGGTGGGATGAATGGCTTCTGTGATTCCGATTCCAAGACCTAATTGACCCCGTTTTGATTTCCCCCAAATCCATATACACCCGTCGATTCCAATAGCTGCAGAAACAACACCAGAGGCAAATGCAGATTTTACATCACTTAATCCCTCTATTCTTTTTGGTTCAATCCATGTTTCTCTGTTACAAAAAAATGAACAGTGTTAATGTTCTAGATTTTATTTCCATAAAAGCCCTTGGCTAGTAACATTCACCGATTTATTCATACTTAATAAGAAAAGAGAAAAGAAACAGCATACAATGTTAGGATTGTTGCAGAATATGCTAGATTTTTTTTTCTCCAAAATAGCTAGCCTAGTAGAGTCTAGTAAATAGGGAGAGAAATGAAAATGAAAATAGGTGAAAAGTGGAATTGTACCTAGGGGAATCAAGGTTCCGACCAAGTTGTGATTCGGCATTGCGACCCCAAGACCAGAGGTGGCCTTGGGAAGTAACGGCGAGAGAGTGGTAGTGACCGGCGGCGATGCTGGAAACATCGGGAGGTAGGGCTGAGATTGGAGTGGGTTCGTAGGCGTCGGAATTGATTCCGGTGACGGAGATTGGTAAGCCAAGAGCACCATGGCTGCCGTCTCCGAAACTCATTACGGTGGTGGTGGTGGTGGTCATCCATCGACAATTGGTGACGCCTTTGAGAGGGAAGTTCTTCAAAACGCGAAACATCGGTAGTTAGAAGTTTTCGGATGGCTGGATCAGATCTTAGTTAATTGATGCCTCGCCATTCATGAATCGGAGACCCGAATTTTCGTAGTTCGTCGCTTTTTAGGAATCCGAAATCTTAAACAAAACTCCCATCCATTACGATCAAATTATTTGTTTGATTTTTTTCTTTTTTTAATTTAATAGAATTAATATACATCATTTATATAAAAAGATTGAACCAATTATTTATATTATATAAAATTATATTATTTTTTTTAACCACAAATCTAATCTACTTATAAACTACTCCCTAATTCCACTTATGTCCCAAAAACTACTCTATAATTTCATTTATGTTTCATAAACTATTCCATAATTTCACCTATGACTCCTAAACCACTTATTATTATAATTATTGTTTGTTTATTTATTTATTTTCACGTTTTATATAATTATATTATATCATATTGTTTTTTTGACGTTTTGATTGAATATACAGATTAAGATAAAAACACCGATAACCACCAATCATCAAATACATTTATGTAATGTTGTTTTTGACGTTTTGATCAAATACAATATTAAGATAAAAACATTGATAACTATCAATCATTCAATATAATTATTTAATGTTGTTTTTTGACGTTTTGTCCGTTTACATCATTCGTTTATATGTCCGTGTTCGTTTATTTGTTCGGATTTAAGATGTTATATAGGTATCTTTTAAACGAACGATCTTATACGGTTTTAAAGATTTTGTTTGTTTACATTGTTTCAATTTATAATTTAATTAGGTGTAAGACTCATGTATTATACAAGTTTATTAAAAAGACCAAAAGTAACTTGTGAGTAAAAAAGACCATTAACCACAAAGACCATGTTAATAAAAAAATAAGTAACGACTGATTTTGTGACATTTGGTAAAACACATTGACTATTTATGTAATTTGGTCTTAATTAATCTATACTAATAAAATTAATTAATATGAATTCACAAATGGAATGTA